GTGGCTGATGAACAGGCCAATGCCAGAAGGTGTGGTTTTGGACTTCAAGGACCGATTAGCGAGTGGTTGGAAGCATACGCGTTTAGATGTCCAGCCTGACGTGTACCCGTCAGACGGCAAGCAACCAGGAATTCACATGGCGAAGTATAAGCATTGGATGGGGCTGGCGGCCGAGCAAGCGGGCAGGAAGGAGGTGCTCCCGCATATCGCAATGTTTATCCCGCGTTCAGCGAACCGCAAGCTTATGCAGTTTAGGCTTTGCTGTTGGGCATTGGCGGCTAACAGAGCGCGTAAGGGACGGCGTTATATACAAAGGGAGGAGCGAGTATGCCCTTGCTGCGGCACTGATAGCCATATCGAGGACGAGAAGCACATTTTGATGGACTGTCCGGTGTACAACAAAATCAGATCTGATATGGGTTTCCCACGCTTCGAGCATATGAAGGACGCTATGAAGTGGGAACCTGAACGCCTGGCAAGGATGCTGGAACGCATATGGTCCCACCGCAACTCTATCATTCCCTTTGGTCGTTAGTATCCTTCATTACTTGTTTCGTTGGAACTGCGAGGTAGGATGGTGTTTATAGGCGATTTGGCAGCCCTTGAGCCCTCGGCTCGTACGGGGAACGCACCCACGACCATGTAACAACAACAACAAATATTCCAATCCTGAGGTCGTGCGTATGATAACTCGAACACCCAGCTTGTGTTACCATTTGCCCGCAAGGGCATTCCGACTTGCCACCAGCAGGCCGACAAATTTGCCGGAAAGTGCTGCGGGCTTTTGGGAAGTGTGTCGAGCTAGGCTTTGAGGGGGACGCCAAGGGCGCGTGAGCAGGCGGGTCGATGCCTGAAGGGGCGCCGTAGGCAGTGCGTACGGTGCTGTATGGCGCTGTTTCCGTGTGTATTATGGCTGCGGCACCAGACCGCAAAGCCAAAAGGCTGAGGGCTGGCAAGCTGCGATTGTGTCTGCTGAGCGTTGAGCATCCGGCCTGGACCGCGGACTTGGCGGCCGAGCCCCTGCTGTGTGCCGGTAACGGCACCTCAGACTCATACGCTTACGCCCAAGCAAGGGGCTGTCGGTGGCAGGTCGCGGACCTCCAGACTGCGTGTAATGGCCAATGACTCTTAGCCATGTCTGCTAGGTTCCAGAGAGACATGGTCTCTTCAGCAGGTTATGAGCCCCGGCTTCCTGCCTCCCGCGCTCTGACAAGCATAGCTCCCACAGCATCAGCACAGCTGCAACAAGCACAGATCCCACCACGTTGACACTACCCTAGCTACCGGCCTGTACGGACGCAGGGGCCCCCCGCCCTTTTTCCGGCTTCGAG